CAACCAATCAGATATCAAATTAAACAACTTAACTAATAATGCAATTGCTTTCTCTCCCAATATTTGTTGTTGCTCTCTATTTTTTTTTTTGCTAATTTAACGGCTCTCTTTAATTCGTCTTTGGTAATTGGTGATCCGGTTATGTTTTCTTGTACGCATGATCCGCGATTCGCTCATCTTCAAATAGCTCTTCAATATACTCTACCCATCTATTTAGTTTTTCCGCTTTTTCTACAGTTTCCATTCCATTCTTGTATTCACACTGTTATGCTCATATTCCGTAATTGCTTTAACTCTCTTATGTAGGCTAAAGTCGTCATGTCTTCTTTCATACTCTTCAATCTTTTTCGTTTCCTCGGACTTTCTGAGCGTACGAAACCAAAAGTGCCGAACGTCCGTTCTACTGACGCAGAGGAAGCAGTTGCATACATGAACTGTTTTATTATTGGCAATTTCTGGCTCATCCTTTTGTGATGCCCACCACTGTATTCGATTTCAACTTTATTACTAATGACAAAAGTCTAGTGTTTCCACATAATTAATGATATAATGATATTTTTGCTTTTGAGGGTTCTATAAAATGATATGGTGTGAGTGCCTGCTTATATCCATCCTGCAATTTTTTGCGTTTTTGATAAAGCTACAACATTCTCGCAGATACTTTGTAAATGTTTCCACTTTTCTTCAGCGTCTTCTCCAGCCAATCGTTAGTGATGTTTCTGTCGACATTACGGGATTCGCCACTTATATGTCCATAATTTATACCATGTCTCTGCTTTAACTTCCCCAACCATCCTTCCGAAGTCTTGAAATCGATAAGGCCAAGCTGTTCAGCAAACTCTTCTGCTTTTAGTTTTACGATAGGTCGACATTACGGGATTCGCCACTTATATGTCCATAATTTATACCATGTCTCTACTTTAACTTCCCTAACCATCCTTCCGAAGTCTTGAAATCGATAAGGCCAAGCTGTTCAGCAAACTCTTCTGCTTTTAGTTTTACGATAGGTCGACATTACGGGATTCGCCACTTATATGTCCATAATTTATACCATGTCTCTACTTTAACTTCCCTAACCATCCTTCCGAAGTCTTGAAATCGATAAGGCCAAGCTGTTCAGCAAACTCTTCTGCTTTTAGTTTTACGATAGGTCGACATTACGGGATTCGCCACTTATATGTCCATAATTTATACCATGTCTCTACTTTAACTTCCCCAACCATCCTTCCGAAGTCTTGAAATCGATAAGGCCAAGCTGTTCAGCAAACTCTTCTGCTTTTAGTTTTACGATAGGTCGACATTACGGGATTCGCCACTTATATGTCCATAATTTATACCATGTCTCTACTTTAACTTCCCTAACCATCCTTCCGAAGTCTTGAAATCGATAAGGCCAAGCTGTTCAGCAAACTCTTCTGCTTTTAGTTTTACGATAGGTCGACATTACGGGATTCGCCACTTATATGTCCATAATTTATACCATGTCTCTACTTTAACTTCCCCAACCATCCTTCCGAAGTCTTGAAATCGATAAGGCCAAGCTGTTCAGCAAACTCTTCTGCTTTTAGTTTTACGATAGGTCGACATTACGGGATTCGCCACTTATATGTCCATAATTTATACCATGTCTCTACTTTAACTTCCCCAACCATCCTTCCGAAGTCTTGAAATCGATAAGGCCAAGCTGTTCAGCAAACTCTTCTGCTTTTAGTTTTACGATAGGTCGACATTACGGGATTCGCCACTTATATGTCCATAATTTATACCATGTCTCTACTTTAACTTCCCCAACCATCCTTCCGAAGTCTTGAAATCGATAAGGCCAAGCTGTTCAGCAAACTCTTCTGCTTTTAGTTTTACGATAGGTCGACATTACGGGATTCGCCACTTATATGTCCATAATTTATACCATGTCTCTACTTTAACTTCCCCAACCATCCTTCCGAAGTCTTGAAATCGATAAGGCCAAGCTGTTCAGCAAACTCTTCTGCTTTTAGTTTTACGATAGGTCGACATTACGGGATTCGCCACTTATATGTCCATAATTTATACCATGTCTCTACTTTAACTTCCCCAACCATCCTTCCGAAGTCTTGAAATCGATAAGGCCAAGCTGTTCAGCAAACTCTTCTGCTTTTAGTTTTACGATAGGTCGACATTACGGGATTCGCCACTTATATGTCCATAATTTATACCATGTCTCTACTTTAACTTCCCCAACCATTCTTCCGAAGTCTTGAAATCGATAAGGCCAAGCTGTTCAGCAAACTCTTCTGCTTTTGGTTTTACGATAAGTCCAGAGAGTGGTACATTTTATAAGACGTTGCTGTGGGAACCACTACAACATTCCGAATCCGAATCTTCAAATTTTGACTTTCTTAGTTTTGTACTGGAACTTTATAATCTAGAGATAAAATTTTTCGCTTATTCGCCATGCTCGCCGTGTTCACTAAGACAAATTAGAACTGATTGAAACAACGATGTGCTTTTATACATACCGATAAAGGCATTAACATAATCGCTTATTACGAGAAAAAACTTAAGACAACCAGGGTCTAGGTAATTAGATTTTTAGCGTAAGGAATTCATAGAAGGTAAGAGACTACTAGTTACAAGTCGGCCTACATTCCTTTGTTACTTTGTTACCTGATGTGCCCTTTTTTCTTTAGGTATAGAGAGTGAGATATTTGTTATACAGAGTGGATTTGTATGGAGCTCTATTAGTTCAACGAATCTTGTTCGTAATACAGAGTTTTACGTTATACCAAAGTTTGGCTATAGGCGGTTTTCACTGTATATACTTCAGCGATCATGGGGCTTTGGCAAGACCTTAAACTTGAATGACGTTTCAAACCCAAAATATATTTTCGACGACCTTAGAAAGTGTTTAAACACGCATAAGACGAGTGCCAATTCGTGGCAAATGATGTATGAGTTGGATTAGGTAATTTTCGCGGAAACTTGTTTTTCGTTTCTTGTCGAATGCGTCTCCCTCGGACTTGATTCGAACGTATTTTCCACCGATTACGCAGCTAATTATTTTGAGGCGGCAAACATGCAGATAAGACCTCGGAGAGGTCAATATCCTTGATCTTTCGGTTTTGAAACTTCTGCGAAGACACGAGTTGAACCGGGAAGGAAACGTCCGCATCCCAAAATAAAAATGCCCGCTGACATTTTCTATAGACCAACATTATACGATGGTAACTGTGGAAACCTGTAGAAAATCTAATTTGCGATTTATTCATCAAGCAATGACCCACTTAAGGTGCTGAATCGTCGAAAAAGTGCACGTTATATCGATGGGACAGTTGATCAAATTTCGACGGTACCGGTTCTAAATCCAGTGGCGTAACCGAGAAAAAAAAACACCATCGATAACAGTATTCTAGACTTTTCATTGAAAATGTACAGGGTATCCCATTTCATTTTATTTTCATTATTCGTTAGTTCGTAGATCTCACTTGGCATCTTCAATGCTAGCGCTCCGCGTTCGAAGTGTTTCGGAGCTACCTTTTAAGTCCAGCACTCATATCATTGCCTTTAGCTTTTTCAAAATCTTCTTAGCGCTGTGTGCTTCATTGGCTAAGTTGAACTGAGGTGGCTTTTACTTGATGAAAATCCATTTATCAAAATAAATAAGAACTAAAAGTTCACTGATAAAGACACTGTGTTGCTGAGTCGAACTTGCGGCCGTTTCGCCAATCATCCAGTTGGCTTCTTCAGAACTTAAAAGTTTCAGTAAATCTACCAAATTGTATAAACTAGTGTGTCAACCAAGTGGGCTGAAAGTTTTATACGAAAATGAAGAGTTTCTTTTACGAATGGAAATTTTCAAGGTCTAGGGTCGATATCGGATTGGAAAGATTTTCCAGAATAAAGAGGTATTAATTATTGACCAGATTACCCGCTTATCTAATGTTTTCATACAATGTTGGTCGCTAGCTTTTTGCATAACAGGGCCCAATTACAATTCGCTTATTATTTCAATTAATAATAATAAATTACCCTAAGGACAAGAAAAAGAAAAGAATCAAATAAACAAAATTAAATGTGTTATGCCGAGTTTAGAATCAGTCATTAAATATATGTTTCAATAAAGAGAGGAGCCGCAGGACAAAGGAGAAATGAAGGGGTAAGGGTAAACAGCAGAGTGCTTTTCCGATACAGAAATTATTGAGTTCCAAGAAGACATTTTTTTAAACATTTATTTTCGATGTTGTGGTATTTTCAATATAATTTTTTTTTCTCAGATTCAAGTCATGAACATCTGTACAAAAAGTGTTAAAAAGATATTCAGGAGATTATACACTTGATTAATTTAAAATAGAATAATGTATCCGCGTGTCATTAATTTCTATGATCATTTTGGTTTTGATATTACGTACCTGGGAGTCATTTCCAAAAACCGACGATTTAGTTGGATTTAACTGCAGTAGATGATCGGATGCAATTTTATAAAAGTTCTTTAAATTAGTGCTAATGTTAATCTAAGACTGCGTCATTTCATGATCTTGGAAAGAAAAGTAAATATGGGGGTCGTCAGCATATAGCTGACAGTTACAATATTTTAAAGATAAACGTATAGATTGTATACAACAAGGGACCCAACATGCTACCTTGTGGTACACCTAACTCAAGGGAGAGTGGTTCGGAATACACATTGTCGCAGAACACCTGTTGAACTCTATCGGATAACTAAACCCAATATAGAGTAGAATTGAAATAAGCAGATCATGTCAAAAGCTTTGCTAAAGTCGTTTAAATTCTGTGCTTCGATTGACGGAAAGAGCTCGAAACTCCGACGGAACTCGAAGCGAAATCGCACCAAATCGCAAAGTCGCTTTTTAACGGCTCGAATCGCGCGCCTCGTGGGCTCTGACGTCACGCGGGCCGTCCGCCAATCGCGTTGCGTAATTCATCGCGTCCACCGGTACGCCGAGCACGCTGCGGCCACGTGCGCTCAAGGAAGGTAAATATTCGGTCGGAAAAACACTTACCCGGCTTTTTTCTCTTCGCCGTGGCGTCTTGCTCGAACACGGCAGTGTAATGCGTGTTGGGGTAACTGTTGCCGTTTCTCGCCGTGCCGTTCATTTCGATAATCGGAAACGGGAAATGTCTCGCGCGAAAACAATCGAGGTACGAAAAATAAATTATATGTACAACGGGAATAAATAACCTTAAAACTTCTGTCACGTCTTCAGCCGTTTCCTTTTCCGGAACTTTCGTATCGCGAGCAAGTTAAAAGCGAGTAGCGTTACAAAAATAGTCATGCTCGACCATCGAAGATTCGCGGATCGTTTTCTAACGGCACGGTTAAGATTCGCCTCGCCGCAACACACAACACACGTCGACGTGTCACCCGTAACCGCGCTTTGACGTTACGCGCCGCCCGCACTCGATATTTATAAGAAATTAAATTTCGTCTAACCCCCTACTAACGAAATCGCACCGCACTCCTAACGCACAGAGTAGCGATTAGATTAGTGCCGAACGGCGAACCCCCCACCACCGCTAACCACGAGACTTTGGAATGACGCCGGGGCCTACTAGACGCGCCGCCGACCGTCGTCCTGGGACGAAATTACTTAAGCGTTGCCCGGGTTGAGGGCTACCGAAAAACGACGCCTCGCGATTCCCCAAACGTCACGGGAGGACTACGCACTAGGCGCGCGACGCCGCGCGAAATTCGCGTTTTGCCCCGCCGCGACGCCGACCGCTGCCGCGCATAGCGGGTCCGGCGCCCGAACTCAATTTTCAGGCAGGTGTGGGGCGCAATAAAAATAAATCCCCGATTGCCTACTCGAAACTTGTGATTTGAACTAATCACGTAGGATTAACGCACTTTAACGTAGAATTTAAAAAAAATCGCATTTTCGACACGTTGCGCAACGTTTAAATTAATAAATACCCTTTGCTCCCTACAATTTTTATGTCCGACGTTCGTTTCTAATTGCGTGGGCAATAATAACGTCCTTGTGGAACATAGTAATCTTATCGCACGAGAAAAATATGCTGATCGATGGTTACGCGGGCGTCGCAAAAAATCGTGTTTTTAACAGCTCGCATCTCGTGACACGATCTGCACGATAAGGAACGCGCGTAGCAAATATCAAAATTGCGTAACCGAGAAACCATGGATGTCTGAAAACCTTGACGGATAATGTTTCGACGGCTAGATTTTGATCTCGGGGAACGCCGCACCGGCGGATCCGCCATTTACGGGAGTTAGTTTGTGCCGCCTCTAAGATGTTATGGTCGGCTAAAAATATCACTGACACACCGTCGACCAATCGCGGAACGCGAAATCAACAAGCCTTTGAAAATTCGCGCAATCATTCACATACTTTAAGCGGTTTAAATGAAAAAGCACACAGACGGAATCGAAACCGATACGGGGGACCGTCCGTAAGAAAATTGACTCAATTTTTTTTCTCACCTATAACATAAAATCCGAGCCGCGTGCGTAGCCTCGTAAAATTGACTTTATTCTCGATAAATTAAGCACGACAGATCACACAGTACGTACGCGACGCCCCTCGTAAATTGTTCAATGAGTCATCAGTTTAATATCTTCACGTTGGCATCGATTTAATTGAACGAAATCACGAGTCGTGATTGTCTAAATTCTACTTCTGAAAAGACAAACGATGAACAAACAATTACGAAGCGGTTGATTAGGTGGAAAACATAAAAAAAAAGCTTTTTAACCAGAACTGGTCACAATTAAAACTACTTTTTGGTTAATAAATTATGTAGTATTCCAATTCAAAAATTTTTTGTTTTACCCACAGCATATGTGTCATTGGTTAGTCAACCAAATTACGCATTTTAAAAACGTATTTTAATTGCAGCACAAGTTGTAATTCCAAAGACAACACGCATATATTGAAAACCCGCTTTTTTGTCGTTGTCTTAAATATTTTTTACGTAACTAAAATTTATACGTTACTATGATATCCGGCATACGTCATAATTAATATTCATTAATATACCTACTTAATACTCATGCTCATATTAGGTATTATATTTTACAATATTTACAATTATCTTAAACTAAGCTTGAGAAAACTAAATGCTTATAAAGAAATACGATTTATCATTTGGTTAGAGCAATACCTATCCACTAAAATAAAATCTTTGCGGTTTCTCGTAAAGCAACTATGCATACATTGTATCGACAGTATCAGACACACTATTTTTAAATCTAACTTTTTTCAAATTTGAGGTCTTGAATAAATTGGAAAATAAAAAATACGAAAATTATATGCCATGAATGATAAAAAGTTCCATTTTACAATACTCGGTACTATTAAAAAAATTGGCAATAACCCATTTCGTAAGTACAATAAGCTGACTAATGATTGCAGTCAGGTTTTATCTGGTTCTAAGTCGATTGATTTTGTTTTCAAGAAGTAAGCGACTTTTACTTTTACAAACTTTCTTACTCCGCTATATTATATATAAGTAATTAGAGAATACTTAAAATAAATCGGAAAAAAATGATTTCAGATTTTCAACGCATCCTCAAAATCCGACAATAGTCGTAACGGAACTTCGTGCTTATGAGCAAGACAGTCCTCGACACGACATATCATATAGCTACTAGACATATAAAGGCCCTGCCTATACTGACAGTACAGAACCTCATAAACCAACTATGTAAAAATAAATTGAGAAGGTCCGCTCAACGTGCGCATACGCAAGATTTGAAATTTCGTTTTTATACAATGGCAGCTCTAATGGCAAATCCTGACGTGAGACCCATAAGACCTTGCGACTTTCAACAAACAACATGGCCGCTGACACATTGTGGATGTTTGGATCCGGCATTTTTACGGCAGTATTTTGTCAATATATGTCGAAACAATGAGCCATTCAAACGTATTGCTTAACGATCAATTAGATTTAAATACTTCTTAATTATTAAACTTAAATTCTCACATTTGATAAAGACACGGTGTTGTGGAAACAAAATTTTCATCAAGTAAAAGCCACCTCAGTTCAAAATATGTCGAAATCCTATTAAATTTTCACTCAAAAAAGGAGTTGAGTTCTGGAAAAGCTGCGCAGAATTGAATCAATTTTTCTCTAAGATGCTATTAGGTAGTACAAAGTATTGAAAGCACAAATTATACAAATTTGTGAGTACGGTACGGAACAACAACGGCACAGGGCACAGCGAAAATAGTAATTACTTAGCTTGGCGTTGCCAATTATCTTTGCATTTCCAGAAACATTACGGCAATGTAGCAACTCATTCGGTTGGAGGGTGTCGAATGCGCAAAAGATCCTTACCTTCTCTATGAGAACATCATAGCCACCTGCGGCGCATCAATTTGTACATTAGTAGGGCCACTATATTATCTTATGCAATATACTAATAATTATAACAGTATGGCATTCGAAAATATGGCGCCTGGCGTATCCGCCAAAAATTTGATTATTTAATTAGCGTTTTACCCGGCGCATCCAGCAGATTTTTTGTATCGCTTCTTTCTACATCCAAGCGTAATTCCGGGCACAAATATAAAGGGCGTTTTATAAAACGCGGGCCGGGTATTTCTTTTTGTTTTTGGACGACGAATACAGACGCCAAATAAGCTCACTGGGACGATACAAATTTGAGAGATTTCAATCGCGTTGAGTGGGCACTTTTTCAATTCAATCTACGTAGTAGCGGACGCGTTACCCACAGGAAGATGCCCGAATTACGTCCAATTAGCGGCAATTTAGGTTTTAGACGAAGGGAAGTCATCTTGGCTTTCAACGGGAAACGAGGCTCGTTGCGTAATAAGTTGCTTTGCACGTCCCTTAACCTTAACCTTTTCTACAAATCAGCTCTCAATATAGACCTTTATTTACCAAGTTGCGTAACCAAACTCTGGGCGACATTTAAAGTTTGCCGAGATTGAAAGACAGCATTTGAGGGCAGACATAGGTAGAAATGTTACCCATAAATCCGTACAAATTGGTATGCGACGAACGTGGATAAACACTGCTAACGGCCTATTAAAAATTTTATTGTGTTCTGTTAATCCATAATGTCTACGGCAATAACAATATTAGTAAAATGACGCGATACCATCACCAGATTACTAAAGTTTACAACGTGAAACTGTCGATGTTGGATTTTTTTCCTGTAAATTGGAAATCGTTTAAGCTTTTCAGAAATATATATAAAGTACAAAAACAATATCCAAGTAAACAATTATTAATAAATTAATTAAATTAGAGACCATTTGGCGCAAATGCATTTATAATAATAATAATAATAATAATACTAATAATAATAAAAATAAATTGTGTTTATTGTTGCATATTGTTATGTACAAATATACAGTAGAGAATAGGCGAAGTCTAGTAAAAGCTACTCCACTTAACCTCTTAAATGTTTAAATTGAAAACTAAATATGAAGTTATTATTATATTGATAAATTAGATATAGTACCATAGACAAATGTAATAGTAATATAGAACAATAGAAAGTTGTAAAAAGTAAAAATAAAAACAATAACATCAAATTATTTGACAAGTTAGCAGTTTCAACCTGAAATATATTTTTTAAAAAATTAATTGAATGTGATTTTACAGATTCGGGTATATTATTAAAAATTACAACAGCGTTATCAGAAAATGATCTGCGGAACAAAGATAAACGATATCGTGGCAGTGAGAGTTTGCTAATAATTTGAAGGAACTTTTTATTATTTTATTATTATACTTTTTTGTTATTTTTAATTAATTTCGACCTTCTCTAAAGAAAAAATTCGACACTTTTTAATGGAGTTTTTGAAATATTTTTTATTTATTGAACAGGAATAACTTTTGTGAGACCGTTTCTTAACATAATGATTATAAAATCTAAAGGCGTGTTTCAAAAGATGGCCGGCAGGTATACGTGTCTACAATTTTAGTTCTTCGTAAATACTAAATTTAATGCTATTTAAAAATCTTCTGTGAAAGAAAAAACTTGTCTTCCTGGAAAATAAATTTCAGTTTTAAATTGAAAACAATTAAATGCCCCATAAACCGAAACAGTTTAAAGTTGCTACGCTAATGGAATTGTTTCGTCACAAAAAAAAGGTTTATTTGGAATTAGCAGTTCAGCCCACAAGCAAAAAGAAAATATTAATTTGTTAATAAAATGCGAATTGCTTATCAGACTAAGCCTTGTTTTACGCTGGTAAAGTCTTAGGTTTATTTTTCAACTGTTGGAATAAGACAACTTTTAGGATAGCAACAAAAATAATTGACACTAAAAAAAATCCTGTAAACCTGTGAAAGAGATCCCATAAAATACGCACCACCTATACCGACAAAACAGGAACCTTTGAGGCTGTTTAAAATTAATCAACATGGCGGCTGACATTCAAGTAAATGTTCGAAGATCCATTTGCCATGTTATGGAGTATTACGTCTGTTGAAAGTAACACAGCCACCAAGGCACAACAAAGAATGCAGTTTAAGTGAAATAAGTGATTTTAACTAACCAAATTTGATACCGTGGTACTGCGTCAGTGACTCGTTGGTCCTCAATGTACCTCAAAGTGCGAATTTATGTTATTTTATTAACATTGGGTCATTGAAAACATCTTAAAATGACGAAAAAAATTAAGTTTGCGGAAACCAAATGGCCTTTGTCAAGTAGCGATAAAGATTTAATTAAAAAAAAAAACAATGCCAATGAACAGTTTGTTTCGCCCGCCAATAATACGGTCCGATGGGTACCGGTACAAAAAAACAAACCAGCGATTCG